AAACGCAACCTGGAATCTGAGAATCAATCCTTCTCCTTTGTGCATAAGTTCTGCAGACCAAATTGGGCCCTTAGTGACACTTGTCCAAAACCATAGTCTTCAATGAGGTTGCAGAGATGTAACTGAATCTTAGTAAATAATTCTGTTGTGTATGCAGAAGAAGGAACGAAATCTACCTCACTCTTATAGAGTTGTGCTAGCTCTGCAAAGCTATCAGGAGTAAAAAGCAGTTTAAAAATGTATCCACTTAAAGTAAGCAGACTTGACTGAATACACAAAGATCTGCTAAGCATTTAATTTTGCCATATTTACATAGTCACTTTTGAGAAGAGCTGCATCATAAGCATGATTTCAAGCCCTATACAGTTATTTCCTGGTGTTCCACTAATTACAACAACAAAAAAGCTAATCATACAATGTCAGCAGAACTTTTAATTCCTGTAGAGTATTTGTACATCAGCTGCATTAAGAATTCTGAAACCTCCATATTAGACAATTAAAATAGTTACCCATTTATAATAAAGTTCAAATGTGTGTAGGGAGAAAGGAGATGAAGAGAGAGAAATGGCAGCCTACAATGAAAAAGTGAAACATGACTTCACCTTAGAATAACCCAAGGCTTAGTTTGGCACACAAACCTGGCCAGCACTGAAACTGGTCAAATTGGCTGCCTTCATAAACTGCTATAAAAATAAAGTTAAAATTCAAGTGTAATGAAAGTTCTCTTATATACGTGTTAACCATCTTTTCTCTTAAAACTTAGGGAAAAAAACATATTGCACAGATGTTCCTTTTTTTCCCCTGTTTATATCACAAGGAGAAAAATAGAACAATTACAGTACAAAAATACTGGAGGTAATTCAACTGCTGTTGGTGAGCGGAACATAACTGATTTGTCATGTCATACAATTTTGTAAAAGTTGGTCTGTTGGAAGGCCATGAATCAGTGTACAAGTGATTACACACTTCTGGATCATAATTTTCATATACTGTTTAATTTTTTTATATATACATGCTGTATACTATTATTTTTATTCTCTTTAGTATAATAAAAACATAAATCTATCCGATGAAAAATAGACTGCACTCCAATTGCATCAACATACCGCACAGAGTAGCTTCCTTATCATACTACTTGCAAAGATCAATGGTAACTGAAAAATGATTTCATTTCCTATAATATATTAGCAATACAATACTCTTTTTAATTAAAAAGTCATCTCAGATGTTCATCTTTTGTTAAGCGCCTCTCCATTCCTGAAATCGACATTTTACAGATGCAAAATAACATCTGGTAAAGCTCAGGGTCTTCTTGATTGAGCTGCTATTGTTGAAAAACAAGACTGTAGAAATTCAGAATTCTACAGCAAGAGCATCAGTGGCTTGTACTGCTATCATACCACAGTCTGCTATCAATCCAGAAGACAAAATCCTTGCCTCTCTTCTTTGGGCCATCCAAAGTTCATAGCTGCAGGTCCTTCTAATTTGTGGAACTAGAATTGCTAAAGACAATCTCAACTATTCGGGGGGGAAGGGAGGAATGGGGGGGGAGGGAGAAAGAGACTTGAGAATGTAAATTGATATGGGAATGGATATAAAGTGATAGTGAAAGCAACAAACAGCTGGGATTTACTTCTGCCGTCAAAAAATGGCCCAACCCCTCACAAACTACACTTTTAGGCAGAAGAGGTAACAAAAGATTGTCATACACACCTGCCAAAATGCTGATGGTGGCCTTCCTGGATGTGTAACATTTCATGCAGAGCAACTTAAAACTTCAGATACTTCTGACTCTGTAAGGACATCAACTGGACTTTTCTGAGTATGCCCCACATTTCCACTGATGTCAACAGATTGGGGAATAGGATTATGAAGGGGACTGCAATTCTATAGTTGCTAGATTTTCATTATTATTCCTATTGTAGGATTATCACTATCATTGACTCTTGTAAAGATTAAATAAATTTTTAATAAACCTGTAAGAAATGTATTACCTTTTGTTAAAAACAGCAATACACTGATGTCATAAAAATTCAGTTTTCAGCTAGATTAACTTAAGCAAAAAAGAAAGAACTGTAAAGTATAGCTTCTGTGGGTGCATATTATAGAGGACTGCTTCCTGAATAAGGTGGATAGTTTTGTGAGCAGTGGACAAAGTCCTCCTACCCAGGAGGGCCTCCTCATTAAGCTATACAATCCTAAATCACACTTCATCAAAGATAGCCTCTGAAGTCTCAGAAATGCTTTGGCTGCATACTTCAGATGTTTATGGAATAACAACACAATCATTACTGTTAAAAAGCCAGTATTTACCCAGAGTGGTATCTAAAATTCCAGTTTCTTCCTCAAAACAAGAAATTACTGTCGTATTAGTGGGCAAATATTATCTTTTTAAACAGTGACCAGTATACTTTCCGCACTCAGCATCTTTCATTCAAGGATCTCCATGTATTTTACAAATATTAATGTATTTAGCCACACAACATCTATGAGGAAGATATTCTTATTTTACAGAAATGGAAACTGAGATACAGAACTATTAAGTGACCTGCCCACAGGAAAGTCCAAGGCAGAGCAAAGATTAATCCCTCTGAATAATTATTCAGAGATTTCACATAGCTGAATTTTGTGTATCTTTTCTGAGTAAGAGAATATAACAGATTTACCCATTCTTCATAATGAAATATTTTACCACAAATAATGCTTTAAAGTGTACTCCAAAACATATGCAAGTTAGAAAGTCCTCTGCTATTATTCCAATAAGAAAATGGGCTTTAGAATAAGCAAAAGAATGGCTTATTTATATGGATTAATTGCACAATTAAAAAAACTAACAGCGATTAATAGCACTGTTAAACAATAATAGAATACCATTTATTTAAATATTTTTGGATGTTTTCTACATTTTCAAATTCATTGATTTCAATTACAATACAGAATACAAAGTGTACGGTGCTCACTTTATATTTATTTTTGATTACAAGTATTTGCACTGTAAAAAAACAAAAGAAATAGCATTTTTCAATTCACCTAATACAAGTACTGTAGTGCAATCTCTTTATCATGAAAGTTGAACTTAAAAATGTAGAATTATGTAAAAAAAAAAACTGCATTCAAAAATAAAACAATGTAAAATTTTAGAGTCTGCAAGTCCACTCAGTCCTACTTTTTGTTCAGCCAATTGCTCACACAAACAAGTGTATTTACATTTGTAGGAGATAATGCTGCCCGTTTCTTGTTTACAATGTCACCGGAAAGTGAGAACAGGCATTCTCATGGCACTGTTGTAGCTAGCATCGCAAAATACTTACGTGCAAGAAGCACTGAAGATTCATATGTCCCTTCATGCTTCAATCACCATTCCAGGGGACATGGGTCCATGCTGATGATGAGTTCTGCTTGATAACTATCCAAAGCAGTGTGGACCAATGCATGTTCATTTTCATTCTCTGAGTCAGATGCCACCAGCAGAAGGTTGATTTTCTTTTTTGGTGGTTCAGGTTCTGTAGTTTCCGCATTGGATTGTTGCTCTTTTAAGACTTCTGAAAGCATGCTCCACACCTCAGCCCTCTCAGACTTTGGAAGGCACTAAAGATTTTTAAACCTTGGGTCGAGTGCTGTAGCTATTTTTAGAAATCTCATATTGGTACCTTCTTTGCATTTTCTGAAAACTGCAGTGAAAGTGTTCTTAAAATGAACAACGTGCTGGGTCATCATCCGAGACTGCTATAACATGAAATGTATGACAGAATGCGGGTAAAACAGAGCAGGGGACATACAGTTCTCCCTCAAGGAGTTCAGTCACAAATTTAATTAATACATTATTTTTTTTACGAGTGTCATCAGTATGGAAACATGTCCTCTGGAACGGTGGACGAAGCATGAAGGGGCATACAAATGTTTAGCATATCTGGCACGTAAATACCTTGCAATGCCAGTTACAAAAGTGTCATGGAAATGCCTGTTCACACTTTCTGGGGACATTGTAAATAAGAAGAGGGCAGCATTATCTCCTGTAAACTTAAATAAACTTGTTTGTTTTAGTGGTTGGACGAACAAGAAGTAGGACTCCGTGGACTTGTAGGCTCTGAAGTTTTACATTGTTTTGTTTTTGAGTGCAGTTATGTAACAAGAAAAATCTACATTTGTAAGTTGCACTTTCAGGACACAGAGTTTGCACTACAGTACTTGTATGAGGTGAACTGAAAAATACTATTTCTTTTGTTTATCATTTTTACAGTGCAAATATTTAACACAGAATACAATATATATGAAAACGTAGAAAAACATCCAAAATATTTAATAAATTTCTACTGGTATTCTATTGTTTAGCAGTGCGATTAAAACTGCGATTAATCGCAATTAAATTTTTAATCATGATTAATTGTTTTAAGTTAATCACATGAGTTAACTACGATTAATCGACAGCTCTACTTATTTATAATGAACATCGATAGAGTCACTTGCTTTCTTCACTTTAGGAATAAATATTTAGAAGCAGCATTATGGATTCAAAACATACATTTTCTTAAAATCATTATATTATGTTAGAGATTACAATATATAAAGAATATAAGGGTATCAAATTTCATAGCTCTTTTACCAAGAAATAAAATAAAAGCAAACCTCACCCTCAACCTCAGCACCATGTCTGAGGTTTGAGAACACTGAAAACATATGTTCTCTCCATTTCTGTATCAAAGCAAATTCACTGTTTTCGAAGTCTGTGACGATTCAAGCTATTAATATTAGCTATGCAGAGAGAAACAAATAAAAAGGTAGCTAATATCTTCTAAGGCATGAAACCTCCTCCCCCCTCCCCTGGGGCAAAAAACCCCCAAACCACAGGTGTTGGCTGAATTAAGGCAAAACTGGTAGTGAAATAAACTTTAAATATTTTATGTTAGCATTACAAAAAGAGGAAAGGAAACAAATCTTTTAAAAATGTAAATGGCTTACTGATACATTGGACAAAAAAGGAAACATTTAAAACATGTTACCTAGCAGAATTTTTCTTTATTTTCTCATCAATGTCACTGAGGATCTGTTGAAACTCCAGGTCCCCAGGAAGAATGTTTAACAAACAATCTAAGTTGGAAGAATCAAGAGAATATTCACCTCCCCACTCCATTTCCAGAACCTGAAATAAATGGAAAAGAAATAGCAAATGTAAAAAAATGGGATTAAATAATAAAAAAAATGTAGCTTTTATTTTAAATACTAAAGTTCATATGATATTTGGTTTTCTGAAGTTATGCTTAGATTAACAAGGTATAAATATTTATAATGGGAACATTAAACCAGTGAAAATATACATCTTTGCATGCAATTGCATGAAGTACTGTAGAGGAGCAACTTGCAGTATATCTTAAAACTAAATTAAATAGAGTAGTTTATTAGTAACCCACAGTTTAGTCATAAACAAAATCAGCTAATATTTTCCTAATAGTAACAGAATTACTCGCTATAAAACAACTTTATGATACAGAAGGAAGTTTGTCACTATTATGCTTGACAGAACTCGGTGTTACAACTAAAAAGTGACATCAGAAAATTCTAAGAGCAAAATTATGAACTTTAGTGTGTATAGGTAAATGAATGGGCCCTGCCCCTTCCACCTGCTTAAAAAGTAGTGAGGTAGTGAGTAAAGTAGTGAAAGTAGTGAGGCGAGATGGGAAAAACTGGGATACCTTACTACCCTTCCTATTGTTTGTGATAAGGGAAGTACTCCAGCCATCCACTGGTTTTTCCCCATTTGAGTTGCTGTATGGTCACCACTCCAGTGCCATATTGGACATTGCCACCAGGGCTAGGAAGAACAGCCTAACCAGAGAATGAATGTCAGTGAACATGTGATGAAGATGTGGGACAGAATAGCCCAAGTCACTCGCATAGCGCAGGAACACCTGGAAAAAGCACAAGAGGCCCAACAGACGTATTACAATCATCAAGCGAAGGTCCAGAGATTCCAGCCTCGGGATTGGATAATGGTGCTGGTACCTTCAGCAGAAAGCAAGCTCTTAGCCAAATGGCAGGGGCCACACAAAGTAAAAAAAGCTGTTGGGGAGGGTGACTATACGATTTGACAATCTGATCACCAGAAGCAAATCTACCACCTCAATCTATTGAAGCCCTAGCAGGACTGTGGAGCTTATATGGTCACCCTAGATAAACCCCCCAAGGCAATAAACCTTGGGGACAATAAAAATATCTCCTGAATTGACCCTTAACAATGAATAGAGGTAGTCAAAATGATGATGACTGGAACCATGATGTGTTCCCAGAGAAGCCAGACAGAATCATAGAAGCTCATCACCACGTCATCACAGATCCCAGCGTAAAGGTGAAGGTTAAACCATTTCAGATCCCAGAGACTAAAAGAAAAGAGATCAGTGAGGAAGTTAAGAGGATGTTGGAGCTGAGGGTCATTCAGGAATCCCATAGTCAGTGGTTCAGACTTTGAAAAGTTCATAGTACAAATGGATGCCTCCAAGGTAGGGTTGGGGGGCGTACTTTCTCAAATGATAGGAGAGGAAGCATACCCCATCTAGTTCCTCAGCAGAAAACTCCTTCCCAGAGAATAAAGGTACACTGTAGTGGAAAAGGAATGCCTTGCAGTAAAATGGGCCATAGGAACCCTCTGGTAATACCTGCTTGGACAGAGGTTTACCTTCATTACAGACCATGCTCCCCCCCCCCTTCCCCAAGTGGATGCACTGGAAAAAAGAGAAAAATGCAAGAGTAATAAGATAAGGTTTCTACTACTACAACCCTTCCATTTCAGAGTGCAATACAGTGCAGGAATCAGGCCTGGTAATGCTGATGGTCTGTCAAGGGTACAATGTTTCTCGACCAAGTAGCCCAATCCCATTGTGTTGAGCAGGAAGTTTGTTTTTTTTTACTTTTGCTTAAGAGAACTTCTTGGGCCTATCGTGAGAACCAGCATGTAAATAAGGAAAAATAAAACCAGAGTGAAGTCAGTCTGATTTACTCCAGACCCCGAACTAACCAAGGAAGAAACACTGAGGCCAACGAGGTGAAGGAGGTACCCTACCACAATATGCACCCTTGTGAATCTATCCTCTAACACTGCTGAAATCTTCTAGACAAGCAGTCCACAAGTGACTCCTCACTGAATGTTCATATCCAAGATTAGCCATGGAATGCAACGGACCCTTAGAGACAGTGTATATATAGACATACCATTTCTTTTAAACTAATTCTCAAAAGCTGCAAACAGTCTAAGAGACTTCCTAAGTGCTATAATCCTCTCCAAATAAGAATTCAAAGCCCTTCTGACATCTCACAATACTCGGAGATTTAGCTGGAACTCAGATACCACTTTTGGTAAAAAAAACCTGAGATGCAGAATAGGTCAACAACTTACCTGTGGAATACAATGAAGTGAGGATCAGTATTAAAACTTATGACTCAGAAACTCTTCTTACTGATGTTACCGCAATTAAAAATGCAGTCTTTAAATGGGAGGCGAAATAAAGAACACTCTCCCAAAAGCTTGAGTTGTGCCTCCATTAATGCTGATAGCAGCACCAAGATGAGTTCCCATATCAAGGCAAGCTTCCTGAACAGTGGGAGGACATTTATCATTCTTTTAAGGAATCTTGAGATAGTGAGATCACTGAAAACTCTGCCCATTGGTACATGGTGCAGTGAAGCATCAGAGGAAAAGCTGTAGTTCAAAATAGTTCATATGGGGGCAGAATGTAGTGGCGTATTATCTGCTACCAATGGGGAAAACTTTCCATTTCTAGAAATAACTGCCACGAAGCTGAACTTGGCAGAATGTCCCCTGCAGGAGCTATATGGGGAGCACAAGTCCAACTGACCCCACCCCTGCTGTCAGTGCAAGTGTGTCCGTCAAGAAGCTCCAGCACTAAAACGTCTGGCTGAGGCCTACTGTTTCTTCCCGTCAGTATCCCAGCTGAAAAACAAAACTGTTCACAGTCAGCAAATGAAGTTAAATAAAAGCATAAAGGAAAAGGAAGAAAACCTACAGGCAGCGTCAGTCAGGATATTGGCCTCTCTTACTTCAGAGGGCTTTGGCAGCATCAGTTACCCCAGAGTCTGCTAGGACTCCAGTATAAGTCTCAGTTTCTTTCCCCTTCTTAGCCCAGGGGATTCATGTTCTCCTTTCTGAAAGGATGGAGGGTTGGTTGCCTATCAGACCTCTCTCTGGGAGCTAAGTAGCTCAAACAGACTGTTCCTTTCCCAGGGCTGCCCCATCTGAGTGGAGTCTCCTCCTTTTAATGCTTCCTCCAGTTCTGGCATGATTTGTATTTGTGCGGGGGGGCAGGGCCACTCTTGCCCAAAGCAGCTCCTTAATCCCTTCCATGCTGGTCAATCCCATCACAGTAACATTTCAATATAAATGGTTTCCTGGGCTGCATTAAAGTATTCAGTACTTCAGAGCGAGCTGAGTCGGACTGTCAATGTCCCATGACTCAAGCAGCAAAGATGAAACAATTCCAGAATGACAATGTCTTCCTGAGTCAAAGTCTGGCAACATTAGTAGATATTATGGAAGCTCCTGGATCAAGCCAAAGCCATCAGAACAGTCATAATAAATTTTGTTATGCACTGTTGTATCTTTCACTACAGTCATTGGGGTGAGGGAGTAATCACACTGCAGTTTCTATTCCAGTCAAAAAGAAACAAGTTTTGTTACTAAGTTACTGTCCTTCCCTGCTCTGGAACAAAACTGAGGGTAACTTTGCTTTATTGCTTTTTGCAGAGAAATTTGCTGATAGATAACTACAGATCAATAGACCATAGCAGAGTCCACTCATTTTGGGTCTGTAATCTGAGATGTAAATTGTCTGTAAGTACATTCTTTTTGCCAGCTACGTGGCGGACAGCACTAAGAGTTAGATGGCAATACAAAGGGCTATATGGTCAAAGTGGCTGGGAGTGAAAAATTCCCTGCTTGCTCACAAAAAGCACTGCTGTCATGTATAAGTCAGCATTGGTACATTAGATATTTTAAGGCCAGAAGGGACCATTAAATCATCTATTGTGACCTCCTGTATAACACAAGCCATAGAATTTAATACAGTTACTCCTATACTTAGTCTGATTACAAGGGTTTCACTAAAGCATATCTTCCAGAAAGGCATTTAAGTCTTGATTTGAGATGACATGAGATGCAGAATCTACCAATTCCTCTGATAGTTTGTTCCAGAGTTTAATCACTCTCACTGTTTAAAAACTAATATCTTATCTCTAATCATCTGGCTTTAATTACGAGCTATTCATTTTTGTTGTGCCTTTCTACACAAGGCTGAAGAGCCTTGTAGTACCCAGTACTGTCTTCCAGTAAAGGTACTCAACAATTAAGTCACCTCTCCATCTTTTTGATAAACTAAACAGATTGAGCTTCTTATGTGTCTGACTGTAAGTCATGTTAAGAAAATAAGAATGGCCATACTGGGTCAGACCAAAGGTTCATCCAGCCCAGTATCCTGTCTACCGACAGTGGCCAATGCCAGGTGCCCCAGAGGGAGTGAACCTAACAGATAATGATCAAGTGATCTCTCTCCTGCCATCCATCTCCACCCTCTGACAAACAGAGGCAAGGGACACCATTCCTTACCCATCCTGGCTAATAGCCATTTATGGATTTAATCTCCATGAATTTATCCAGTTCTCTTTTAAACCCTGTTATAGTCCTAGCCTTCACAACCTCTCCAGGCAAGGAGTACCACAGGTTGACTGTGCACTGAGTGAAGAAGAACTTTCTTTAATTTGTTTTAAACCTGCTGCCCATTAATTTCATTTGGTGGCCCCTAGTTCTTATATTATGGGAACAAGTAAATAACAACTTTTCCTTATTCACTTTCTCCACACCACTCATGATTTTATATACCTCTATCATATCTCCCCTTAGTCTCCTCTTTTCCAAGCTAAACAGTCCTAGCCTCTTTAATCTCTCCTCATATGGGACTCGTTCCATCTATGCAGTTACCTTTATCAACCAAACTTGTAATCTAATCAAAATTGAAATCAGGTTTGCTTGACAACATCTATTTTTCATCATTTTTCATTACTTATATTCCCATCCTTTAAATTACGTATTGATTGAATCCTGTATCAACATTTTCCATTATTTTGCCTGGAATTGAT